TTTTTCTTCCTGCATCTTTACCATCATCTCTGAAGAAGCTCAAGGCTGGGATCCTAGGAATCATCCGCCTTATCTTGATAGCCACTGTGGGTAACTGATAGCTGTTATTCCCTGTAAGTCATTTTTGAAAGATGATAAAGGCACTTTTCACTTTAATGATTGTCAGTGCCTCTAAATATTTCACAATATTACACAATAGAACTTACATTTTAATGTATTTTTTTGGACTAAAATTATTCTGAATTTTTCCTAGGTATAATAACAGAATGACCATTGAGAAAATCATATATATGAGAATATTATATATATATATATATATATATATATATATATAATGACTCAAAGACATGCTTTAGGGGACTGAAAGACCTTTGTGAAAAATACAAATTAATTTCTGAGATTGGCTAAAAATTATATTGTAAAGGATGGTGAAGTTTGGTCCTTTGGGCTTTTGAAATATTTTCCCTCCACATCTTCATTTCTTTATTAATTTTTCTTGGAAATATCTATTTTATTTCAGATCATTCTAATCTAAAACAATACATCAAATATCAAACTAAGAAACTAAAATTATTAAGATCTATTTAGATCAGTATTAATTTTTATGAGGACTACTTTAATTTTTTTTAGGTACTGTAATACCAGAGCAGAATAATTCTTCCCTGGTAACAAGGATCTATAAACATATACAATGATTTTCAAAGTTCTGATATTAGTAAAGTTTATATTTTGTGTTCATCTTAGGGTAGACAAAATGATAAATATTTTTTGAGGGAATGTAAATTATAAAATTAGGCAATCCATGTTCATAAATACTGATTAGAGAAAACTGTTTCCTCTTCACTAACAATGTGAAGAAATATTCATTTAAAATTATTATATCCATTGTTGCCAATTGGCTCAAATTTCTTCCTTCCCATTATAAGTGATAAAAAATGTACTATTCTAAAAATGTGATTTTGTTCAATGACTTTCAGGACAAGAATAGATGGGTATTTTTGTTTGTTTCCTTTATATGGACACATAAAGTAGGGGATACGAGACTAACCCTTCTCTGTGAGTGTGTGTGAATGTGTTTTGTTGTATATTACCAGCTTATGAGTGTGCATAGCTATGTTATGTACATGTAATGTTTATAACTATTACAAATAGGTAAATTAATTTTCATTTCAAAAATTCAAACTGTTTTGGATGATAATTTATAATCTTTCCTCAGTGTATCATTGTAGTTATTGTCCAAAAGAGTGGTTAACGTGTCCCAACAATTTTTATTACTTTAATTTTGAAGAAAAAAACACAACACACATGGAATGAGAGTTTGAAGGCCTGTGCTTCTAAGAACTCTAACCTGCTCTACATCGATGATGAAGAGATAATAGTAAGATTTCAAATGTTTCCAGCATTTTGTTAAAAACTTGTTTCAGTCAATATTATATTTTTGGTGTATATTTGCAATTTATTATTTAAAAGCCTATTAATATTCCATTATTTGACTTCATGATATTTTATTTATATATTTTTTACTATTGATGCATGTTTGATAATTTCCAGTTCTTCCTTTTTATAGAAAACCATGCTTCTGTAATTTTTTTTTTGTCTAAAATAAACTTTGCTATTTAATTGACCAGCCATCAAAGAAACTAAACATGATTACGCAGACTGATGCAAAAGTGAATTGAAGCATGTAATTATGAATCAGATCATGAACAGGACTTCCCCTCTCCAGCAGCCCTGCTCCTGCTTCTTTGTATTCTCTTATCATTCCTCCTCCTCCTTCCTTTTCAACCACTGTCCTGACTTTTTGTCTCTTGGTTTGGTTTTGAACTTCATATACATGGAGTCACGCAGCATGCATTTTTGTTCCTCTTTTCATTCCAGTATGCTATTTCTTGGAATTCACCAATATTATCCCATTTATCTATAGTGTGTTAACTCTTACTTCTAAACTGTGTGAATATAACATTTTAAAATACATTCTACTGATGTGTCTTGGGAGTGAGGATGTGAGTCTTATGCCCACAAGAATACAAAGGTTTCCTGGGTCTAGTATTTTTATCATGGGATGTCTTTCGCTGGTCCTACCTCTCTCTGGTAGGATTAGTGATTTCCAAGGGCTAAGGGGAGGTAGGATAGGAAACAACTGTTAATCAGTACAGTGTTTCCTTCTGGGGTGATGAAATTTTCTAGAGTTGGATAGTGCTGATGTTTGCAAGCCGTGTGAATATATTAAAATTCATTGATTAATCACTTCAAATGGATGAATGTTATGCTGTGTGAATGAAACCTCAATAAAGCTGTTAAAAATAAACTCCTGAAATTGTGTTTGCATTTAATCTTTAATCTGTAAAGATTAGTCATTTTTACAATATTGCCTCTTCTGATTTGTATCGTGTTGGATCCTTCCATTAAATAGGTTTTCTTTAATTTCTTCCTATTATAGTTTGTATGTTTCTATACTGAAGTCTTACAGAAATATGAGTATTTCAGTTATGCTTTTGTAAATGGCATCCTTATTTTTAAATTTTTAGAAGCTTTTGCTATTGTAAATAGAAATACAATTGAAGTTTACATGTTGGTATTATATAGAACGACTTTACTGATTTTATGTATTAATTCTACCATTTCAAATAAATGTTCTTCTGGGTGTTTTATATACACAAGCTATTTCAGCTGTAAATAATCACAGTTTTATTTCTTCTTTCCAGGTGTAATTATGTATTTTTTTCTTGACTTATTTTAACAGGCTAGGGTTTTATTTCCAATGTTGAATAGAAGATACAGTAAATGTTCTATATGCAGCATTCCTTATGTTAGGGGTTAATATTTCAATATTTTATCTTCAAGTATGAGGTTTGTTTTAAGGTTTCTTTGTTTAAATCACACTTTTCTCATGTTAAAGCAATTCCATAATATTCCTTTTTTTCTCACAGATTTTATAATCGGTTACATTTATATTATTTTTCCATCAATTGGAATGATGTTTTCTCTGTATAGTACTTATAAAGTAATTAAATTATTCTTTAAAATATTAAAGTCATCTTACACTTCTGAAATAAAACCACAAGGATAATTCTGTATTGTTCTTTTTTTAAAAAATCAGTGCATATATTATACTAAACTAGTCACATTTACATAGAAATGTGCCATTTCCAGCTTCACAGAAAATTCTCTAACTATAGTTTACTTAAAATAGAAGTCAGTAACCAAAAATCTGAAGATCCTTATATAGTTTTAAATTTAGTAATATATTCCTAATTAACACGTCAGCCAAAGAAATGAATATTCACAATGAATATTCACTATTTTTATATGAAGTACAAGGAAAACATAACAGCAAAAATCTGTCTTGTGAGATATAATAGTGTATATAAGAATTTTTTTCTTCACCCATTCACAAAGAGATTAGACTGAGTTTTCATTGATAGCTATGTTTTGTTATCAAGGCTATATTGGGAAGCATATCTCTTTCCCTAGAGCCTGAAAGATTTTATATCCATATAGGTAAATCCTCAACTTTCTTTGTGCAAGAGTACTGCTATAATATATATATATTACATATATTATTACATATTATTATATATTATTATTCCACATATCATTCCATATATATTATCACATATATTACATATATATTATATTTATATTACATATAAATTTATATTACATATATAATATGCATATGTATATTACATATACATATATATTACATATACATATGTATATGTAATATATTACATGTATTACATACATATTATATTACATATACATGTGTATTTCAGATTACTATATATATTATTATATATTATTATTACATATATTATTACATATATATTATCACATGCATATTATTACATGTTACATATATTTATATTACATATAAATTTATATTACATATAAAATGTACATACGTACACTACATATACATATCTATATTATATATAAATATAATATACATGTAATATATATAAATATTTAATTGAAGTATAGTTGACATATATTAGTTTCAGGTGTTTGATATAGTGATTTGACAATTCTGTATATTACTCAATGCTCATGATGATAAGTGTAGTTGCTCTCTGTCACCATACAAAGTTATTACAACATTATTGACTATATTCTCTATGCTGTACTTTTCATCCCTGTGACTTATTTATTTTGTAACTGGAATTTTTGTACCCCTTAATCTTCTTTACCTATTTTGTCCTAAACACCCCCACCAAGCAACCACCAGCTTGTTCTGTGCATTTCTGATTTCTTTTTGGTTGTACAACTGTTTTATTTTAGATTCCACATCTAAGTAAAATGTATGGTGTGTTTGTCTTACTCTGACCTATTTCACTTAGCATAATATCCTCTAGGTGTATTGATGTTGTTGTAAATGGCAAGATTATATAATATATATATATATTTATATATGTAAAGACTATATATATATATATGTATGTAAATGTTTTATATATATATATGTAAAGGTTATATATATATGTAAAGATTATATATATGTAAAGATTATATGTGTATATATACATTATATAAAGATTATAT